AAATAATTAATATGTCTGTTATGTAACGACAGAATATAAAATACGTTCAGCTCGAAAGCCATGTGGGAGTCAGATTTGGGTCTGTACCCCTGATTCCCAGAGCTCTTAATAAAAGCACCTGCATAAAATCATATCCCATGATTATGTGTTTTTCCGAACGCTAACACAAGAATTCTGTGCTTGAACTACTAGGTAACAGCTGCATCTCAGTATGGTTGTTAACCAAAATGTCACAGGGAGCTGCACAAGAAATATGGATGCTATCATTTTCTATGTAGTGTGTAATAGTAACTTCACAGTATCAAGGTTTGTCTCAAGACCACTGACATTATTCTCACTGCAATAGCATCTATTAGTCTTCAGCATCCCATAAGAAAAAAAAATCAGATGCTAATTGCCTTAATTTTACACTTGTCATATCCTTTATTACAGGTTTGAGAAACACAGTGGAAAAATATCCAGTTTTGTGCTCTAAGTTAGTAGTTGATAAAATATGTCTCCATTTATCTTTTTACTTAGCATTACTTTTTATAGCATATGGAAACCCACTTTGTTATCTAAAACTCAGTACTATAGAATTCTCCTGTCTGTGAGACAGCTTTTGAACAGCTCAAAGCAACTTATTTAAGCATATGGCACATATCAGTAAGACTGAAGGGGAGAAAAGGAAAAGAATATAGTGATTAAACACCCCATATCTATGTATTCACCTAAATTAAGCATTTAATACAAAGGGAGAGTTATTACAAAGAGAGATTGACCTGTGAGCTTCCAGACCAACACGGTTCATGGCAATTGCAGATACAAAACAGTAACTTATTGCTAGAAAAAGCCAATATTTATTTTCTCTTCCTAGCTTAAAAGAAACTTAATTCAGTTAGACCAAGCACAGTCTCTGTCACATTGCAGTTTCAAATCAGTAAGACTGGTCTTACTTACATCTGTTAGCAAATTCTACGTGACTGTGTAGTTCTACATGAATCTGACTAATAGATCATGCTATCCTGTCTCAACAAAGGTTTTAGAGATCTGTCAGCAGGCCACCTTAATTGCAGCCACAAGCTTCTAGACATCTAATAAACTTGACATGACAAAGATGATAAGAAGTTCGCAATGAGAACACCAGGATTTTGTTATGCTGTTCATAAGAACCCCATCTTCTTTGTAGTGAAACCCTGCAAAATGTGTATTGCTACTGCAGTCCTCAGAAAACAGCATCTTCACTATAGTTTCAATTTGTGCATCCATCTTCTACAAAAACTTAAAAATATGTTTCTCATACTGCACCTTTTCTTACTTGGCAAAATCAGACCTCACTGAAAACATCTAAAGGTGTCTCACAAACCCTTACCAAAGCTCAACTTTGGTGACTATTATTATTTATCATAATTCTGGCCACTGAGTTGAGCCAACTGTAACCTACAGCTGCACAAGACTGTCAGCAGTGCCCTGGCAGCCAGGAGAGCCCACTGTGGTCTGGAGGGCATCAGGCACAGTGGGGCAAGGGAGGCGATTGTCCTGCTCTGCGCTGCTGCAGCCCCATCTCAAATCCTGCCTGCCGTTTTAAATGCTACAATATAAGAAATATAGAAAGCAGTTAGTATCCAGAAGAGACCTACAAAGATGGTGAAGGGCCTTGAGGGGAAGCCGTATGAGGAGTTGGCTTAGGGCACTTGGCCTGCTCAGCCTGGAGAAAACTGAGAGAAGACCTCACTGCAGCTTCTGTGAGAGGAAGAGGAGGAGCACACCCTGATCTCTTCTCTGTAGTCACTAGTGACAGGACATGAGGGAATGGCCGGAAGCTGTGTCAGGGGAGGTTTAGGTTGGGCATCAGGAAAAGATTCTTCACTCAGAGTGTGGTTGGGCACGGGAACAGTTCCCAAGGGAAGAGGTCACAGCACGAAGTGTTTGGACAGCTTGGGCAAATGTGTGTGCAATCTTGCAGACGGTGCTGTGCAGGGACAGGAACGATGTTTCTGTCAAGGCAGGACGGGAATGAGAAGACTGACTAGAAGGTTGCATGAGAGTGAAACTCTGATTTATTCAAAATACACTGCTCTTTTATACAGAGCTTTGTGAGGACCAACTCCATTGGTTCTGAAGTGAAAACAACTCGCAACATTGGTGCAAAGTGCTTGACACACAGTGATAGAACTTAACTATAAACAATGTGAAAAACAAGAGAGAAAGAATTATTTACATTCTTCTCCAGCTCTTTCCCAGACTTTTTGCCTGGCTAGAAACTCTCAGAGTTCTACATTTAATCACAAAAACCCAGCTATTTGTAATTTAGCCAACTACAATCCAAACAGAATCTATATCTTGGTAAGCTGTAATAAATCTTTGGTCACACTTTGGGGGGAAGCAAGAGACTGCTCACAAAGGAAAAAAAAAAAAAAAAAAGTAATGTCAGGCATCAAATGCCATTTGCAATTAGTATTTCCCTTACTAATAAACATATATGATGAAAGAAAACACACCTACTTAAAAAAAAAAAAAGGTGCCTATCTTTTTTCCCAGGAAAACATCAAAGTACGTGTCAAAAAATTATGTTGAGCTTGAAAAACAAAAATAAGAAAAGGATTTGAATAACCTCAAGATCTCTAAAAAAATCAATGCTTCTCTGAAACTGGAAAAAGGGAAGAAATGGTATGCTTTTCTGCAAGAATGAAGATGCTTAATATGTGATATAGCCATTCAAAAAAAACCACCAGCAAAGCAAAAAAAACCCCAAAACTAAGGAACTGCAATCTCATTTCAACAGCCATTATAATCCTGCCCCAAGTCACCTGAGAGATGAAAACAGTACTCCTTGAAGCAAGTCTCTATTTAAAACCATTTGTTGCTGATGTCTATTAAGTGTCCACATCTGTTTTACCATTTAATCTCTCCAGTAGGAAGTCTCCTGCTGTCCCACTAGATCATCCCTTGTACAGCACAATTTTTCTATCTCTTTTTACTAGCAACTAATAATGTACACCACACCTTCATCAATACCTTAACTCTACCTTTCAGCAGCTGGAACATCACTCTCTATACAATCCTTTATGAAAGTGCTATTTTGGGCTGGCACAAACTTTCAAGAATGATGACTAAAGATTTCAAGATGCAATTGTCAATGTTTAACAGCAACAAATTAGGAGTTCAGCTGTCCCAGACAGGATCAATACTTTGTTGGTAACACACAGCAGTAGTACCTCTAGCCCTGTCACGAATCACTGGTACATGAGCAAATAAAAAACAAAAAGCCCCACAAAACTAAAAAAAAAAAATAAAAAAAAAGCGCAGCATTTTCTCAACTACTTCTGTCATACCCTTTCCTGGCAGAGTGAAGTGCATTTCACTTAACTGCTCTACTGGCTTTTCACTATTTAGATTCTCTTCACTGACAATTAGACCCATGACCTACAAGCTGTTGACCATCCCATTTATTCTGTATTATGACCCAGTCCCAAACAAAATAAAAAGCTTTGCTGTTCTATTGTAATGCAGACAAAAGTCTCTCTTCAGCATTTCAACGTACCCTTACAAAAAAGAGCAAACCTAACATTAAAGAGAAGCAGCTAAACCTTCTTTGTCAGCTCTTTTATAGGACATCTGTCCTTTCAAAAATACATATAGTTTCACAACAGAAAGTTAACAGTTTTGATACATGCTATGGCTGCAGAGGCTGATCAGATGAGGTTCTAAACTCTTCCAGTTTTATTATTTCCTCACAGGGAAGCATATGACATCCTTGTATTTCTCACTGTATTTTCTTCCCAATCTGAAGTCATGGCTCCTTAGAGTGGCTGAATAAAACATGAGCGATTTCCACTTCTACATAGTAAAGTCAGATACTAAGCATAATCACTCCAGCTTTCTCTGACATGCTACCAAAACAAGTAGCTCTTTATCTGACCTTCAGTTTTAAACAGATTAAGAGCTTTAGAATTCAGTTCCCCCATTCTCAGCTCTAGAGCCATGCACTCATTCACAAGTGCATGAACTCACTCTTCCTGATTCACTTTCTTCCAGAAAACATCAATTTGTAATTCACATCCCCAAAGCCCCAAAGCGTAGAAGCAAAACAGGTACTCCTCACTTTCTCACAACGAATCTGCATCTAAACCACAGAGAACACTACCGTGTATTTAAACCTCCTTCAAACGATCTCTACTTGCAGACCGTCAGCAAGTAGCTTAAACATTAACTCTTGTTGATCAGTTTCGCTCTCAAATTGTTATCCTCCCATGAAGTATTCCAGTTTCAAGATGCTGGAACTGTCTGTAAACGCCAAAGCTAAGCACAGGATGCAAGCCTTCAGTTCTCTCGCAGCTCAGCTCTACTCGAGACCCCTTAAGAATGAGATATTACTTATGGAACACCTGTAATTTGAATATTGCGTTCTTCCTCTGCCGTATCTTATAAAACATTTACATAAACGGAATAGACTGAAGCTGTGCTTCAGATATTTTATTCTTTGCAAGCACAGTACCACAGTTATTTTAGAAGCGAGTTAACTCACTTTAAATAAGCTGAAATAGTGGGTCACCAACAAGTAAGCACACGCATACGTGGGTATTGAAGAAAAAAGGTGTCATCTTAAAATACTTTGTGATTAGAGAAGTAAATTTTATTTACTCTCTCCCAGCCCCCAGGAAATTCGGCAACAGCACCCGCCCGGCCGTCCGAGCCAGCGGGGCCGGTCGGGAGGCCGGCAGGGCTCGGTCCCCGCGGCCCCGCGCACCCAGAGCCCCGCCTGCAAGGCGGGCAGGCTCCGCTGAGGCCCCCGCTGTCCATCCGCCTCCCGCCGCCGGGCTCGCCCCGCGTCCTTCTCGCCGCTTCCCCCGCGGGAGCGGAACCGGCGAGTCCCGCGGCGCGCCCGGAACACCGCGGGGCTGAGGGCGGCTGAGGGCAGCCGCGCCCGCGGCCGCCGCCGCCCCTCGCTCCCTCCTTCCCCAGCCCCGGTAGCAGCGCGGCGGAACCACCACCCTCCAGCCCCCACGGCGCTGGCTCACCGTCCCTCCTGCTCGCGGCCATGGCCCCGCGGCCTCCCGGAGACACGGGCACGGCCCCGCGCCCGCTCTCCTCCCCGTTGGCCGCCGCGCCCGTCGGTCCCGGCGCGGGCGCCGCCATTGGCGGAGTGCGGCAGGCCGCGCGGCCGCGCCGCTCGCTGGCCCCGCCCCTCCCGCCCCTCCTCGGCGGGCGCGATGCCCGCGGGCTCCGGCAGGGGGCGCGCGGCTGCGCAGAGCCGGCGGGGGCGCCCCTGCCGCGCGCGCGGGAGCGAGGGCGGGGGTGCGCGCGGGGCGCGAGGGGCGGGGGGAGCGGCGCGCGGCGGGCGGGCGAGCGGCGCGCGGCGGCCCCGGCGGGTGAGCGGCGCCGGGGGACGCTGGGCGCGCGCCGCTGCTCCCGCTCGCGGCGTCTCCTCAGCCCCGACCCGCCGCAGCCCGCACCCGCCGCGTTAATAATGCACTAGAATGTCAGCGCTGAAAAAGGTACGGAGGGAGAAGAGGCAGGGGAAGGGGCCGCCGTCGGGGCGGCAGGCGCGCCGGGCTGCTCGCGGGGCGCCTCCGCACAAGCAGCGGAGGGAACGGGCGGGTGCCGGTGCCGCGGGTCCCCGCGGGGACCGCACCGTCGGGGACGGGCGCCTGGGCAGCGGGGCGAGGGTGCGCCAGCCGCGCCGTCGGTTGTGGTGCCATCCCCATCACCGGCGCGTCCCGGTGTCGCCGTGGCGAGGGTCTCGCCTCGGTACAGCCCGGGCAGGACGGCTGCGCGGCGGAGCGCCCGCTGTCTGGCACCCTCCCGTGTGACCGGTGTGGTCGGAGGGAGCGGCGGGGAGGGGGATGCTGTGCGCGGAGCCGCAGTGCTGGGGCGATTTAAATTTTGGCAGCGCGTGATTCTGGGGCTGCCCTGCGAGGAGGGGCCGGGGAGCCGGGGCTGGCGGCGCACCGCCGCCCGCTCCGCTCCCCGCTTTCCCTTCCCGGCCGCCGTGCCTCCCCGGGAAGGGTGCGGGTACGTCGGAGGGGCCGCGCTGCTCCGCCAGGCTTGTCCCAGTCCTCCGGAGGGACGGCCCGGCCCCCAGGGGCGGTGGGGCGGCATCTCGGCAGCCGAGGAGGGGCGGGCGGGCAGCAGGTGAGTCCTGCACGGTCCCCGCACCGGCTCTGCGCGTCTGCCACGCCGCGGGCGCGCCCCCGGAGCGCGGGGGTGGGCGCCCGGCGCATCTGCTGCGCTGTCCTCGGTCACCGGCGCGATCATGGGTGGCTCTCGCCACTCAAAGGCCGGCGTTCGCGGGCGGGTTGTCTGAGCGCCTCCGCGGCCGCTTGAAACACCGTCTGCCGGAGAAATAAAATAATTACCCAGTGTCATAATGAGAGCGCGGCGCGCCCCAGCCCGCCTCGCCTCCCGGAGCGGAGCCGGCAAACCGCCCGGCGGCCGCCACCGTCGGGGCGGGCGGTCCCCGCCAGCCGACCCGACCTGCTGCTGTGGGGCCAGTACGGATCGGCCCGGGGCGAGGGAGTGGGGAGACCCTTCCAGCCGGCGGGAGGTGCAGAAAAGGGGCTTTCTTTTACCGCCCCGCTTTCTGTCGCCTTCGTAACCTAATTCCTGCCACCGCTGGTGTCCCAGTTCTAACATCGGTGCCGGTGCCGTACTGCTTGGCGTTTAGCCATAAATCCATTTATAAGTGCTTCGGCCTCAACTTCCCTCAAACTTAAAGGGTTCTAATTTATGGCGACAACCTACTGTTTGTTTCCAATTTTGCTTCATTACGGCACATTCTTACACAGGCTTAATGTGCCTTGGGAGCAGGTGATACTTGAATCTCTTCCAAATTAAAGCCCTGAGAAGGGGACCAAATGCTGCCGTCTCCTTAGGTGGTGTTCGCCCAAGATCACGGCTGTAAAAACAAGTGCCCTTCTTAGCCCTAGAGTGTTTTGTAACCATTTTTTTTTTATTATTTGTATCTCTGCTTCACAGTAGCAACATAAGCGGAGCACTAACAAAATATAAAACACTGGATAGCTCCAGCTATTTAGGGAGTAGATGGCTGCAAGCGGGCGTCCTGCGAGGAGCAATGGTCACCTCACTGTGACTGAGTGCGGCCCAAGTGCAGATGATGGGGAAATCTCATGTGGAGTCTTAGTAACTGAATGTTTTCTACTGTGGGAGTGTCAAGGGGGCATACTGATGGTACTGAAAATTTTAAAAAGCAGCTCGAGGTAGACTAGAGGATGGATGGTAATATTTTATAATGCACGTGTATTTGAGGTATCAGCTGTTCACATCTCTGATTTGTTGCATTTCCATCTTTGTGTTTTATCTGGAAAACAGGTAAAATAGGAAGAGTAGAAGTTTTATATTTCTGTGCTTTCCGCAACATAGCAATACTTTCAAGTAATTTCCATATGGTTTGCACAAAACCCTTCATTTGAGAACTGCGAGTTTTAATGTTACTGTCTGTAGCTATTTTTACGGTGCTAAGCTGATCATATCATTTATGTTTCAAAGGTTCTTCCCCCTATCATTTTGCATGCTTTTCAAAATGTGTGTTATGTGGTTAAAATGGACTTGGACAATGTTTAATAGTTTCATGAATTACAATGTTATACATTAGAGATTTAATTCTGAGTGCTCGAGGCAGACCCTGTGTTATCTGACATTCCTAAGTTAAAGAATGTATTTATTATGCCATTGTTCAATAACACATGAACTAAAATCTAGGATTGTCAAATAAATTTGTTGATTTAATTTTTTTTTAGCTTTTCATTTTAGTACTATGAAGTGCTATTTGCATTTAGTCAGTCATATATCTAGTTTGCACTGAAATGGTATAGGGCATACCTCTAATAACTTTTTAGAATTTTCAGTCCTTCTGAAATTAGTTTAAATTCCTGGTGCAAACTGAAATTATACTTAGAGTGAAGTCATAAGTTCTGTAAGCAAGCATTTAACAATCAGCAAACATAGGCTGCTCTTGACAGAGTTATTCAGGAGAATGTGTTTTGTCTATGTAACACATAAAATCACAGTCAAACACAAGACTTGCTGGATTGGTAATGGTAATAACATAATGACTTAATGGGATTGGGAATTCACATTTGTGTACGGCAGGATCCCACAAATATTAATGACTGTTTGCAATTAATAACTGTTGGCAGTGCCAAGCTGTTGGTAACAAAGTTACAAAAGCAAGTTACAAAAAATTTCAAGGTCCATTGTGACAAACAAAAAGTAATATTCTAAATTAATTCCAATACGTGAAACAATTTATTTCAATAGTAATTGATACATGTGATATAAGAAACATATCCCTGAATAGATGGATTCATACCTGATCCTGAGGAAAGCTTGCATGTCCAGTTTCCACTCTGTCTGAACATCAAGCAGCATTCTGCCCAGAGGGCACCCTCTGCAAGCTCCCCTGAACATTGCTGTCCTGGTCCACTTATAATGTCACAGCTGTGAAAGGGTTTTTTGACAGCAGATGTTCTAATAGGAAATATTTGTAGATGCAGTCTGGATGACTGAATTTCAGCTTGATTGTGAGCTTTGCCTGGCTAAATGGTGGACTTTGGTGTAATCATTAGCATGGATTTTTTGTGCCTTAACAAGGGTGGTAAAATGCTATTTTACACCTGCCTTTGGCAAGAACTTTTTTTCCCTGTTTGTAATTACACATAGTCAAAGCAATTTCCTTGTATAACTATGATATTCCTATGAGAAGTTTTAGTAATAAAAAGAACATAACCCCTCAAATAACCTCCTGTTTTTATATGAGGTATAACATTGGGGGACCTTTGAATATGCATCAGTTAGACAAAAACAGCTGTTTTGGTTCTACTCCATGAACAAGACAAGTCTTATTTGCTGCTTCACTTAATCAGTACAGTGAATTTGTTTATATCTAACCATGCATGGTGAATGAGAGGACCACTAATGCAGAAAGTCAGTCTTAGCCCATCAATTGTGACTGTATTTAAGGAAGACTTTCAGTTCTTAGAAATGTATTACATGGGCCAAAATATCCCATTGAATTGAAAATGTTCTGTTTGCTAAATGGGTAGTTTTGTTTGAATAGCTACAGGAAAAAAATATACACATATTAGTTCAGTTTGCCTTGCAAAAATTCATAGTCATCCACGAACCATATGGCTTTCTTACCTCTAGTAGAGAAATAGCTCTCAGCATGGCAGATACAGTATGTCAACAGCTATGATCAAATATAAGTAGAAGTGGGCATGGATGAATCAGAATCTCTTTTAAAGTAGACTTGTTGGAGAACACAACTTCCCATAATTCAGTCCATATATATCTCCATTATAGAACTACATTTCCCAGAACAGATTATAGTTCATCGCAACTACTTTCTGTTGGAGAGGCTGAAATGATTCATTAAGGTAAAATAAGTACTCTTCCCATGATATTTATTTAGAAAATGTCAAGTAGCAGTTTATTCATTTAGTACATGCTTGGTTGTGACGAGAGGATAGAAATCACTGCAGTTAGATTTCTCAATCAGTATTTCCACGCATGCATATATATTTGGTCTCACTTTGCTTTTATCTGTTTCTCACTATACTCTCTTAAATACTTCTTTTGTGCATAAAATTTACTTATCTTCCATGCATTTTCATTCCATATTTGTCACATTTCTCTGTCCCTGCCAGTTTTGAAAATGAACAGCAAATAACTTCCAAAATTGCATTGGCCTTAAGCCCTCTAAATTTTTTGTGGCTTTATAAGCATATGTTCCTATGATATGAAAATACTTTCTTTTTATTTTTGATAGTAAAGATAGCATACACCAGCAGTTAGCAGAAATACATGAGGTATACCATAGATTAAGGCTTTTATTTCACAAGGGGAATCAGTGTCTGTTATCTTCAGGAGATGCTGCAACCACTATGTATAGATAAATTGACAGTAGTGGAACATCTCAAAAATATGATCAAATGCATAAATCCAACAGGACGAAAATCAGCAATTTAGAGATTCAGACTTTGCACAAATAGTAGAAAGCTTAAGTATACTCCAGAGCTTTCTGTCTATCTATAGCTCCCCATCTTGGGTCCTTCATAGCTTCTCCTTCTCCATGCAAAATTCTTCCACCGCTCTCAATTTTGCATAGTCCATCTTAAATACTCTCTGCAAAAA